GGAAAATCATCAAAAAAGTCATTGGAGTACGTATTATTGAAAAATACTACATGAATTTTAATTTTAATTTTTTTACATCAAAATACACTTTTTTTGAGAGAGAGAGGGAGCAAGCGAGCGAGCGAGCATGTACTTCCATCTGCTGGTTCATGTCCCAAATGCCCTCAAAGGCTAAGACTTTTCTAGGCATTGCTGTAAGCTGGAAACTCAATCTAGGTCTTCCAAGAAGTGGGTGGCAGGTACTCAGTTACTTGCGTCATCACCACTACCTCATGAGGATCCACATTAATAGGAAACGGGAGTCAGGAGCCAGACCCAGGTACTCCCACATGGGAGTCTTAACTGCTAGGCTAAATGCCTGCCCCTAAACTCAGCTTTTTACTACATTTTTTCTTATACTTTTTGAAGTACCCTCATGTGCTTGTTAGTAAAAAGGTTTATAAGCTGCAGAGCAAGTAGTATAGAATATTGAACAGACATCTGAAAGAGAAATGTAGGATTTTGAAGGATTTAAGTGACCAAAAATGCAAACTATGAGCCATGGGGCATTTGTCTTTAAGGATCTTACCACAACAGTTAACCTCACATAGTACTAATGCAAGTCATAGGAGATAATGTTTCACTTAGTGGAGTCTGGGGACATTTGAGTTACCACCTCTGTTTGAAAGGGAGTGAAAGTGCTTCTGAGACAATAGAAAGAGAGGAGTAAGAGTGCAAAATACTTAGATGATATTTATAAGAACGAATATACAAAACCACCAGCTGGCAATTATGGTTTAGAGTATGAAGAAGACAAAGGGTGAATACCAAGAGACGGTGATGGCAGAAATTTTGGCTAAAGATCAGAGGTAGGGGGAGTACAAGTATAAAAATTGAAACAGGTTGGAAAATGTGAAAATGAACTTAAGTTTGAGAACTTCTGTTCTGAAAGAATCCCGACGCAGTTGCTTGTCTTTTAACTCTTCAACTTGAGCAGCTGTTTTAACAGTTGAGTGGCTAGGTACCATTAGGAAGAGAATATTTAATTTTGGAGAACCCCAACTGTTAAAGCAGCTGTTTTCTCTTGATTAGACTTAAGCTGGCTCTGATTAGGTCACAAGACTTAATGGTGTCATAGCACCAGACAGACTGGCTGTTGTTATGATTTTATTGGACATAATAAAAATACAAATGGATATCAGCTTTTTATTTTGACAAAGTGTTAAGGCAACTAATATGAACTTTTTACCTTGTTGCTAGTTAATGGACTAATTTTGCACTATGTTCCTTGAATGTGAGTTTTTTTTCCTAGCACTTGAAAAAAAAGTATCTCTAGTTCCTTTGGTATTTCTTTATCTTTCACTAATAACAGATAATATTTCCACTTAAGTCACCTCAAGTCATCAGTCATTTGCATTATTTATTTAGTAGTTGTTATCTAAGAGTCCTTTTAATAGTAACCCCCAGATTTGTCCATAATACATTATTTTTTGCAAATTTATTTTATTTATTTGAAATGCCAAGTTACAGAGAGAGGGGAAAGAAATCTTCCATCCACTGGTTTATTTCCCAAATGGCCACAATGGCCTGGGCTGGGCCACACTGAAGTCAAGAGCCAGGAACTCTATCCAGGTGTCTGATGTGCTAGCAGGGGCCCATGTACTTGGGCCATCCTCTGTTGCTTTCCTAGGTGCATTAGCAGGGAGCTATGTTGGAAGCAGAGCAGTAGGGACTTGAACCAGTACTCTGATATGGGATGTGGCCTTAGGAGTGGTGGCTTAAGCAGCTGGGCCACAATGCTAGCCCCTGTAACATATTTTTAATGTTCAAAACAACTTGAGTGATGCTGAAAATAATAAAAATCTGGAATTACAATTTTAGCACTTTAAGAATCTTGTTATGGAAAAAATACTTGTTAGTTTGTTTCAGGTAATTATCTCAATTTAAAAATTTTAGTTACTTATTGAGGATTTGATTGAGATGGGTATTATGGCACAGTGGGTTAAGCCTCCCCTTGGAAAGCCTACATCCCAAATTGGAGTGCCTGGGATTGCATCCTGCCTCCACTTCCAATGGAGCACCCTTGGAGGCAGCAGAGGATGACTGCAGTATCTGGACCCCTGCTACCCAGTGGGAGACCTGGATGGAGTACCTGGCTCCTGACTTCAGCCTAGCCAATCCCTGCTTTTGTGGGCATGTGGGGAGAACCAACAATGAGAAGATCTCTATTTGTCTCTCTGTATCTCTGCCTTTCAAATAAATAAAAAAAATGATTTGATTAACTTCTTATATAAAAAGTATTTTACTTGATATATTGCATAGTTTCAAGCAAATATTAGATTTCATTTCATATGTTTTCAAAATGGAAGTTTTGCTTTTTGCATGATCACTATAGTAGTACATATTGGAAGTACTGGAAATAGTACAATAAAATAATAAACAAGAACAAGCAGAGACTTTACAATTCCAGTTCCCACAGACAACTACTGTTATCATTTTGGCACTCACCCTTTCATCCACCTCTTTATGTACATTGCCAGAAAGATTTCTTTTTTTTTTTTTAACTTTTATTTAATGAATATAAATTTCCAAAGTACCATTTATGGATTACAATGGCTTCCCCCCATACCGTCCCTCCCACCCACAACCCTCCCCCTTCCCACTCCCTCTCCCCTTCCATTCACATCAAGATTCATTTTCGATTATCTTAATATACAGAAGATCGGCTTAGTATACATTAAGTAAGGATTTCAACAGTTTGCTCCCACACAGAAACATAAAGTGAAAAATAATAGATGATTTTTTTAAATGATGATGAAATCAGATCAGACCTATTGTCATGTTTAATCC